CCCCCCCCCCCCCCCCCCGGGATCTGCACCCATGCTTATGAGCAAAGCAAGACCATTTTTTGATCTACTCTGCATTTGCCCTCCCTGTTAGGGGCCTATAGTGCTTCAAGTGGCCAAACCAGGAATTGTTTTGAAAAGACAGCAGGGCCCCAGAAATGGAAATTGGCCTCATCTGTTTTTTTTTGTTTTTGTTTTTTACCATTCTTGGGTCTGTCTAACCAACCTGACTGCCAGAGATAGAAAAAAATCATGTTTTTTATGTAAATTGAAGGGGAATCAAAAAATGTCGTTTTAATGGGTTTCAATGGGGACGGTTTTCGTCCGAGAGGGCGAGGTGTTGTAAAAGGTTGCCATTTGTGTATTTTAGGCCTGATTTAGGAGCAGCTTTAAAATTTCAAAAATATTACCAAAAATAAGGTTTCTGACCAAATGTCATGCTATATGCATGAACACAGCCAAAGTTATCAAAAAATAAAAACTGAAAAATGACTGAAAAGGACGTTTTCCGTCCAAGTGGGACCGGAAGGTTAGTGTTCTTTATATGAGGAGGAGATGAAGATGAAAGTGTGGATTGTGTTTGAGGAAGAGGAAACCAGTACTAAGGATCAGCTTGTGCACCATTATCTGTATTTGTATCTGTTCAGCCAACTAAATTATCTGTATCCTTATCCATATTCAGAATCAGAGGACTTTAAATCTGAAGTGGGTGTGACCCAACCGGAAGCTGTTTTTTTAAGCCTGAAGTTGACATGGGTTCATCAGAGTTATTATTTATTAGAACGGTGTTTACAGAACAGCCTCAGAATTAAGCTTCACGAGAGTTAGAAACTGAACACAGCCACCCTGATGAGAAGTTTCTTTTATCACAAGCACAGATATTGACACATTTCACTCGTACATTTTTTCAAATTTATACTCGCAAAAAATGCATTATCTGCACCGGCTACTCGTGTCATCCAAGTATTCAGCCCAACCCTTGTACCCACCATAAGACCAAGGGGACAGGAGTGGATGTTGGCATGATACACGCAGCAGTTCATTTCATTGGCGTTGTTCCAGTTTGTCGGGCACTCGTGTTCATGACAGAACCTCTTTGCCTCTGACGCATTACTAGAAGGGAACATGGGTGGGTAGACAAATATATTAATTTAAACAAAACCCTGTGACGCTATTTACATTCACAGCTCAAACAAAGACCTGCAGATCAGCTCGCTTTTCTTATAGCTTCAACTTGAAAATGGAAGCAGCCTTAATTAAGACAAACGACATTCAATTACACAGATGCATCAGTCAGGGTTCATTTTATTGTCTGATAAATTGTTCTCTGTCAGTGTGTTGAGACTCTTCTGTGGTGGTGAATCAGTATGCCAGTACATACAGTACAGTGTGTGTGTGTGTGTGTGTGTGTGTGTGTGTGTCTGCACATGTGCAGTCAAGGCATGGCAGACATGAAGGATGCCACTTTTTTATGTAACACACTCACCTGAACTGGAAAATCTTGTTCCTGACTGCGTACTCGTAGAAGGAATCTGAGGCCGTCACAGTGTATGTGACATTGAACTCTTCCCCATTGGTTGCTTTCTCTGGTGGACGCTGCACCCAGGCCATCTCCAGCCCTGTGACAACAAATGTCCTCATCACCTGGGCATACACATTCAAACAGTGTACATATGCATGGGGATACTAAGGCATACTGAAGTGTGCTATATTTGCACATGATTCTGTTGAGCCCCACCCATGACACTGTAATTAATACTGGGCAAATCCTGTGAATGTTGCTCCTTCCTTTTCAACCACAGGAGGAAAAGTATCGGATTTTACAGTAAGTACAACCCAACGTCTTCTCCTGCAATGAATCACTCAGATATACAGAGAAATAAATGCATACAAACTTACCACCACAGCTGATCATGTTGTAATCATTTGGACTGCTGATTGGCCAACAGTCGTACTCTGTGTTGTCCAGATCATGCCAGCAATTTACTCCCTGCAGGCAGAGACAGGAAGCCATTTATGTAAAGGCATGTTTTGGTGTGTGTAAACATATTTGAAAGGCTTAATGCATGTAAAATGTTTTATCAGTCAGTCAGGGCTCATCATGTGCGTATTTAAAGCAACTACCGACCCATAAAATGACCATTTGCACAGTACTGCGCAAAAGTTTTAGGCAGGTAAAGTAAGAATGCTTTCAAAAATATAAAGTTTAATTATTTATCTCTATTGATTTATAAAATGCAAAGTGAGCGAACAAAATCTTAATTAAATCAATATTTGGTGTGACCACACTTTGCATTCAAAACAGCATTCATTCTTCCAGGTACACATGCACAAAGTCAGGGATTTAATAGGATCATAGTAAGGTGTACGATAAACCAGTTAAAGCAAACAGGTGCTAATGATCATCAATTATATATGTAGGTTGAAACACAGTCATTAACTGAAACAGAAACAGCTGGGTAGGAGGCTTAAAATTGGGTAAGGAAGACCAGTTAGTCGTGCCGTGTTACCCTAAATTCGTGGAGAAACTTTTTCTCCCATGCCTCCATGGAACATATTGATTTATTGATTGATTGGGGGCCACATTCAACAACAGCTAAACTAATTTAACACATGCTTTTACAAACTCTCGCTGGATTTGTGCAGTACAATCCAAGATTCATTTATCAAGTTGTGAGCTCAGTACTTCCCAATCACATACATTTTCATTACAGTAGAGAAAATGCATGTGTTTTGGAGGTACTGAGCATATGACTGGATAAACGAGACATGCCGAGTTGTGTGAAAGTTTGTAAACAAATGTATTGATATACTTTTGCTGTTGGTAAATGTGGTCCCCAATAGTTCTTTTTCTCGAATTCAAGGTGACACAGCATACCTGACTGATATACAGATGGTCATTTTGTGAGTGAGGTATTCCTTGAAAACAATTAAAATGCAACTCAACTCTGCAAAGCCTAATAAAGAGTAAAAAAGGCTCCTGGGTCAGAGACTGGATCAGAGACTTTCTTAACTGCTGTCCACAGAGAGTCTGCATGTCAGATGAGCTAATTGTGAGCACAGGCTGCCCACAAGGATATGTTCTTTCCCCTGTGCTATTCTCTGTTTACTAATGAATTTATGACGAATGAAAATCCTCCTGAGACCCCGTGTCCCCATATGAGGACATCACATTCTGGGTTTACTTAACCTTGTACTTTATTCTACCTAACTTAGACCTGTTGTCCTCATTCACGTGACACATTTTTATGTCATCTATTGGTAGTAAGAGCACAATACACTAATCCATGTAAAAACAAGATGGCAGCCAACCATCTTTGCCAAGTCAGTCTGCAGCCGATCTTGACAAAAGTGGACAAGGTCAAAACCTGATCACATTTTATGGTTGAAACTTTTTCATGATTAAAAATGTTTGTAGTTTGATATAACAATATTTTTGACCGATTTTAATGACTGTAACAAGCTAAGACAAGTTCATTAGGAAGCCCTCATTGGAAGACTTTATTATAATCTTGTTTGAGGATATTGGGACTTAATAATCATCTTGTTTGAGGAAACTGGGACTTAATTATCATCTTGTTTGAGGACACTGGGACTTAATTATCACTGAGTGTTTTGTTTTTTAATACTTATCGGGTCCTACCGATCTCAAACACTTATGAGAAATTAAAAATGTGTATCAAACAAAAGTTGGGGTCTCAGGAGGATACGCTGATGATATAGCCTTAGTTGTTCTTTTATAGCAACAGACCCATCAGGTGAAGCTGCCCACCTGGCCCTCACTAAGGCCCTTCAAACATGGTGTCGCATCAGGTTAGAAATGAATGCGGCTTAAACTAAAGAATTGATCATTTCACGAAACAAGATCTGAAGACAGAGCCGGTTTCATTAATAGCCAACATGTTGAAACTGTGGAATATTTTGAATATCTTGGTACAGTTCTGGACTCCCATGTGAGCTTCTCTCGAAAAACTGGGTATGTTTTCAAGAAAAGCTCACAGAGTAAAATAGTTGGCAGGCCACAAAAGCCCTGGACCCAACTCTCTACAGAAATGACGAGGAAGAACACGAGGAGTATCTTACCAGATAGCTCTCACCCTCTCTTCAGCCTGTTTGAGCTCTTGAAGGCACTACAGAGTCCCTCTGGCAACCAAAAATGTATTTGTGTGCCATCAGTATCCTTAACTTAACCAAGTGATTGATGAGTTTTAAACCACAGACAGGCAATGAGCTGATTTACTGTTAAGTATTTTGTAATGACGTTGTGTTTGTTTTACTGACTATTTGTCCGCTTTTTACAATGTTGTCCTCTGTGTTTGGTGAGCCAAAGATAAATGTCCACCCATGGGAGACAATTAAGATGTATTCTAAGCTACTGTAAAATTCAAACAACAATTAACATCATCACAAGAAAAAGCCCCATGATGAAAAAACCTAAGTAACAATCAGAGTCTTATCTGTTATTCAAGACGCATTAAGGATGTTTTATGAGCTAGGAAATCAGCCCCATATGAGGCTGGTAAGTAACCCAGCAATACACAGAAACGCCACAAGCCCATGAACACATGCCTGCAGCAGCAAGTGTTTCTGACAAGACAACAAAAGCAAGGGGATTACCTCAGCAATAAATGAAAATGTGAATAATAGACACTCTGTTTATATTCCTGCTTCCATGCAAATACAGTCACCAGAAAATGCATCACCTGTGCTGGAAATTTCCTATAAACACACAGCACTTGGGAAATGAATACACAAAGCATTTGATGGGTTTGAAGCAAAATATTAAGTATACAACATATTTTGGAGAGATTAGAGCTGAGTACAGTGTTCCTCCTCTCTCCCTCTGAACAGAGAGTATTTATAGAGTCAAGCAGAACACAGGAGTGGTCCTCTACTGCTTCCATGAGGTCACTGACCCATCTCGAGATGGCACATAATGCTAAGACACATCTTTAGTTACATTATGACTATAACTATTATCCATAGTTACATTATGCTTGTTTAACACCTAAAATCATGTAATGTGGCCCAGCCAGGTCAGTTTTCACTTATATAGCCCAATATCACAAATCACATGCCTCACATGCACCTCACACCAAGCAAGAATAAAAGTAAAGAAATGAACATAGTAATAAATCAATGTTTCGTGCTAATATACGTTCACACACCCCTGCTATCACATCACTGTGCAGTCCATTAACAGGTTAACCTAAACATCTGTGGCTATTAGTCCAAATTTCCTTTCTGGAATTAAATCTGTTGTAGTGTTGTATTTTTAAATCCTCAACTTTGTGAGAACTTACCAGCAGGAAACACAGGTAAAGGGACGCCGCTGTCCGTAGAGCCATGAGAAGACTGTTGTGGCTGGACCAGCTCTGAACTGACTGAGTGAATGACCAGATCTGTGTGTGTGTGTGTGTGTGTGTGTGTGTGTGCAGTCACCTCAACACGGCTAGAGCACCCTCTTTCTCTGAGGCCCACCCTCTCCCTTGTCCCTAATTGTCCAATCAACAGAAGAGGCTCTCCAGTTTGATCATGTATTTGTGCACAACGTGCTTCAGCTCACCTTCAACGTCCTGCAGGTCACCAAACACAAAGGTCACTGCTGCACCTGGACCCACCACCAGGGCGTCATTTCTACTCTTTAAGTCTTCTGCATGAAGTGACTCCAATCTATACTGTCTGAAATTAGCAGTATCTACCTGGGTAATGTGTTTTTATATCAACATGAGAATTGATTTGAACATTCAGCCCTAGAAGACATGATTTTAATGGTTACACAGTTTATGTTTTAGGCATTACGCTTACAAGGGTTTTATTGTCTTTATTGAGGATTGTCAACAGGGAGCTTTAGCTGCTGAGGTAACATGTGCCAGTCCAATGACATTTTGGTCAGGTAACCTTTTCAATAACACACTGCTAACTTTCAGTATGCCCATGCCTTACTTTGAGGAAGCACAGACATATTTTTCTGCAAAACTTTTTTTGTTTAAATGTAATTTAAAAAAAAAAAAAAAAAAAAAAAAAAAAAAAGCTTCTCAAATGTTGTTTGACAAAGCGCTTTCAAAAGCGTTCGGCCACGTTTCACAGTCCACAGATTTTGATCAGCTGTGACCATGTGATCTAAGTATGAACCCTTGGTCACCTGGTCACAGATGATCATATATGAGGTTTGTAAAAGGAGCTGTATGTGACATTCAGAGCATATCCATGTTTCAGAGTCTAAGCCAACATTGTCTGCACATGGCTCTCAACACGGAGGTGGCTGAGCTGGCAACTTGCAGCTAATGGTGCTAACAGCTAACAATGCTAACAGTGCTGAGGGAGCTAACTGTGTTAATGTGAGGAGGATTGGTGGGTGGATCTTTCCTTCCATGACAACACACTGCTCTGCCAGCTCAGGTCGGGACACCTTTATCAGCAGTAACCACCGTAGCAGCTGTGATTAGCTAGCCAGTGGGACACACACATGCACAAACGTGCACACACCACTGGACTAGCTACCACAACGACCAACAGAGAAGCTCAAATTACCAGACGCACAGAGGGAGAGTGAATTCTTTCTCTGCTCAGGACACCATTACATCACTATATCTTTACATAGAAAACAGTATGGTGGTGCGGTGGTTAGCATTGTCACCTCACAGCAAGAGGTTTCCTGGTTTGAACCCGGGGTGGGGGAGCACTTCTGTGTGGAGTTTGTGTGTTCTCCTCGTGTCTGTGTGCGTTTTCTCCGGGTACTCCAGCCTTCTCCCACAGTCCAAAGACATGCAGGTTAATTGATGACTCTAAATTGTCCGTAGGTATGAATGTGAGTGTGAATGGTTGTCTGTCTCTGTGTGTCAGCCCTGTGATAGTCTGGTGACCTGTCCAGGGTGTACCTCTACTTTCACCCAGTGTCAGCTGGGATAGGCCCCAGCCCCCAGCGACCCCCAACAGGATAAGTGGTTACGGAAAATGAATGAATGAATGCTTTATTAATGCTCTGAATGTTCTATACAGTGACTTTAAATGTTGTCTGAACACAAGCGATCACAACAAAACCCTTACAAAAAATCCTGACTAAAATTGGCAAAATTATAATTTAAATCAGGAACTACCTAATCAATGAATAAGTAAACAAGTGTCTAAGTGTTGTGAATACAATTTATATTAAATTGTAACATGTAGAGTGATTTGTGATGATGCAATGTCAGTCTTTATCTTAGACTGTCAACACTGTCCTTTCATTTCTGAAGTGAAACTCCTTGCTGCCATTTATCAGGTAACATACTGTGTGTATCGCTGTGCTCAGCTGAAACTGTGCTGGCAACTTTGTAGGAGAAACCAGTCAATCCTGTAAATTATACATGATTTAACGTTGAACTTGGCTTCTATACAAGTCCTGGTCTTTATGGCACAAGGGATATTTATATAACATCATACTCTGTGTACTGATGAATATTTTCCTTCTCTGCCTACATCTGTTTGCCCTGAGATTAAGACCAAACCAAACGACAGCATTTCTGAACATCTGTAAAATTTAATTGGCTTTTCAAGAATGCATAATTACAGCACAGCTGTAGAAAAAGGCCTGCCACACCACACAAGTTTACAGTTCATGTTTTTGGGAATGCAAAACCAGAGTGGCAGAGAGCAGTCACGACAGGTCTGCAAAGGGCTCTGCTGAGGACATACAGTACTCACTATGATATAGCATGTTTTTAATGGAAAGAACATGACTTAACTCAAGTCAAACCTCAACCCGAAACATAAACTGAATGCCATTTACATCACGAGTAATTTTCTATGAAAATGTACAGTGTTGAACCTTTTCTTCTGCTGCCAGAGGATGTTGGTTGTGCTTAGCGGATTAAATCCTGAGTGGGATTTTACTACATGAAAGGAGTTTAATTTGTGGTTGTAAATGTTGTAAAAGCACCTGAAGTATGACTGGGGAATGAAAATAGCTTTGAATTTGTGGCTGCAAAGAGAGACAGGTTATGAACACAAGACTTGCAGGTCGACTTTGAAGGGGTAACTTAAGCAAGACTCAAAGGCTTCTCGGGGAGAACAGACGAGCTACTGTAAACATTATGTAGTGTTTAACAGCATCCCTTCAAAAGAAATGGCTGTGATTTACATTTAGATGCACACAATAAGTTTATAACCTGCCAGACATGTTTTAATGTCTAAATGCATTGTAAGCCTCAAACATCTTCCAGATGTGTATGGGTGACATTGACAGGACAAATAGTGTCAGGCTGTAGTTCATCACAGAAAGACGTACTAAATTAGAAATACTCGTATGTGGTTATTTTTACTGATTCAAGTGCTTTGCAGTCTAATTCAGAAGAGGACCTTGTTCCTCCCATTTAAGAGTCAATTCTGCTCTTTTGCTCGTAATGTAACTGAGTGAATGGAAACTAGAGGTCACTCACTAATTGGCCCGACCAGATTAAATCATCCTTAAGTCGCAGCTCTTGAACAACAGAAATCTCAAGCAACGGTTCTTCATGAACTGCAGGACAAATCTTGTAATAAGTGTCTCAGAAGTGTAAAAGGAGGTAATCCTTTTGGTGTTTTTCTTTGTTAGTGCGCTAACATTTGCACTGCAGTGTTATCAAAAGTGTGTAGTCTTAAAACAGGTATTATCAGTGAGTGACAGTTACTTTCATTTAAAATCAGGAGACAGTCTGACTCAGTCAAACAGGATTTGCAAGTAATCTCATGGTTTGGTTTGGCTAATGTAAGTGCCAAGAGGGCGGTGCGTGCAACGTTTGAAAAGGCTGCAGCCGCTCGAACGTGCTCACAATGACAATGTTGGCATGCTGATGTTTAGTATGTATAATGTTTATCATGTTCACCATCTTAGTTCAGCGTGTTAGCATTTGCTAATTAGCACTAAACACAAAGTGCAGCTGAGGCTGATGGGAATGTCATTAGTTTGTGTACTACTTTGTGTATTGATTATGGCATGAGAGGAAAAGTGAGAGGTGTGTTTGGCTGTACCACATCTCACAGCTACAACAGCTAATGGGGATCCTAAATAAAACAAACAAACAAACAGTAATCCATCCAATAGTTGCCATTTCACTCAAAACCACCACCGCTAGAGGAAAAGTCTATTACTCTGAGGTGTTTAAGGGATTCTTCCACCCCCAAATGATTGTTTGTTATCATCATATTGACTAATTTTTTGGAATTTCAGTGACATGTGTTGAATTTGGGAACTTTTTCTCACGTGCCTCCATGGTGAACGCAGAATCCAAAAACAGAAAATTCTTGATAAAATGGAGTAAAACGGAACTGCATTTAACAACATCAAAACTATATCAAAACATCTGTTTACAAACTCTCACACAACTGGTGCAGTATAATCCAAGTCTTATTTATCCAGTTGTACGCTCAGTAGATACTTCCTAAACATGTGCAACGTTATGAAAACCTTACTATTTAAAGCACCTCTGCACAAACAGGGCAGGCGCACGACTCATCCGTGCCCAAGACTATTCATACAGAACTGTTGGTACTGAGCATATGGTTGGATAAATGAGACTTGGATTATACTGCACCAGCTGAGTGAGAATTTGTTTAAAAAATGTTTGGTATTGATTTGCTGTTGCTGTTGACTTCACTTCATTGAGAGCTGTTTGCCGTTTTGTGATTCCTGGTTCACAGTTGAGGCATGTGAGAATAACGTTTTCCTCCCTAAGTCAACATAACACAGGGTGAGTAACTGATTTACAAATGATCATTTGATGTACAGTATTCCTTTGAGGTTCATCATTGAGGAGCCATAAATGTCTACGAACGTTTGTGCCAATCCATTAGGCACATTTTGAAATATTCCACCAGATAAGTAAACTCTTTGACTGGTGGCACTGGATGAAAAGTCAGTGGAACACTAACATTTGGATAATGACGTGGACCATAAATGTCTGTACAAAATTTCATGACAACCCGTACCAGTAGTTGCTCAGATAGTTCAGTCCGGCCCAAAGTGGTGGACCAACTGACAACAATGCCATGAGCCCCACTGCTAGCAGTAGTAGTACAATACAGTACAATAAAACTGTAAGATTAACATTCTAGATAATATTAGATCATTTTAATATATGTACATATATATGAATATTATCTGACCCATTTTCGGTACTTTGTGGGAATCATATTCAACCTAATGTAAGTTCTGAAATTCATACTTTTCAACTGTGTGGTCGTAGTTGACAACAACAGCTGATCGCCAACAATCAGGCGTTGCTGCCATTCTCTGTGAGCTGCTCTTCACCTGCTCCATCTGCCCAGTTAGCGCGAGCTAACACAGCACAACATGATCTCGTCACTCCTCATCATATTTTACCATTTGGGCAGAAGCTCTGCAGCACCGGTTAACATCTGACACGAGCCATTAATCTCACACCGATATCAGAACGGCTTGACTCTGTCGTTAAATGTCTTAATAACTGTTGGGTAATGTTAGCCGTGTAATGCTAACAGTCAGCCCTGTTACTGTGTGTGTGATTTTGTCCCAGGCACAGAGCTCCGGTCCCACAGCAGTAGTCTCGTGATAAACAAAGAGAGATTCCCAGAGAGGGGCTCTGGGAATAAATACGCTAAATACAGGGATTGGCTGAATTTGCCTTAATTTTCACAATCGTGACATCCTGGAGGGGCTGCCTTAGGTGAAATCAGCCTCTGTACTTCTTGTTATTTCTTTATCATATCATGGTGTCTCAAAAGGAAAAAACAGACAAATAAAAACAGACTTATTATACAGGTTGTCAAGTTTGATGTTCGACATTAAAAAAACATAACAATTCCAAAAAATGTGTTACTTTACAAAATGAATTTTTATGATTTTAAATGTCCTGTTTGGAAGTCACAGGACATAGGAATGAACATGAATAATCTCAGTGTGATAAACAAACACCACCATTTCAGCTGTAAACCTTTCCAATCACCACTCTCGCATGTGGCTTTCCTACACTCCCAGGATAAAAATGAAATAGCTTCAATGGTGTCGTGTCTTTTACAGCAGGAGTGGCATAAATACTATACAGCAGGCTGAAGAAGAGTCATTTGAACCCTGTCAATGATTTAGCAATGGAAGCGTCAGAGCAGTCGAGGGAGAGAGGGACTTGTGTGTGTATGTGGGAGGGGTAGTTAGTCTATTCAGTCATATCCTCTTCGGTTCATGCAGGCACACATGGTATGCTGAAACTCCGGCAGGAATCCAGTGTGTCGAAACACCATTTTACAACCCCTGCCCTGTCAGGTGAGCAGCTGTTTTGTCAGAGCAACAGCAGCCACTCAGTGAGTTGGGGCAGATGCTACAGGGAGAACAAGTTTGCCTCCGTGAGGTGAGGCAGACTTTCAGAACTGATAAAAGATGACAGAGGGAACAAGAAAGGAGAGACTCTGTTATCTGTTCCCCACTGGCAAACCTGCTTCTCAAAAGAAAGCAGGGTGTGATTTTAAAACCTTAATTTTGCAAATGATGGCCGAAACATCAAGACCATGCTGTGCAGGCTGGCTGTCACGCAGCTGAAATTACTTCACCTCTTCCTGAAAGCATTTTTACAGGATGTACAAGAAGATACATACAGCAGCACACTAGCTGTGTTTAAAAACAAGAAATAATCTATAAGACTGAGCCCTCCACAAGCAAACCTTTAGTTTTATAGTACTTGACTACAAACAGGCTACACGTCTTCACTGGATCATCCACGACAGCTTCCTCAAAAGCTACACAGGAAGTAAACCTGAAGACAATCAGATGTACACAAATCTATATTAGTGGGGACGTTAAGTTCACCCTTTGCATGATTTTTACCCTTTTTAGAGGTAAAAATAGAAATGTACTGCTGTGTACTTCATACTGGTTTCTTTCTTCAGCCATTACAATGGAGAAGTTTCTAAGTTTAAATAACCCACAGGGATGTGATGAGGAAGACAAAAAGAGCAGGATGAAACAGCTACGAGAATCTCCCATTACACATGAATGGAAGTATTGTGTCCAAAACAGTAAAACCCTGAAAAAAACACATCTTTGCATCCTTTTGTGGAATTAGAAGTGCATCAAGGTCTCTTCTTATCTCCTTGTCACCAGCTCTACACTGGAGCAGCCAGCCTGCAGTGTCTCTTCAGGAAAGTACTTGTGATCTGAGGACAACAACGACCCCCTGAGACCAACTGGTGTAGTTTCTCTTTCAAGTCAGCTCCAATCTGTGTCTTCATAAGGTACGTCCAGTCAGAGCTGAACAGAAGTTCTGGATAATTCTTAACAACTTCCATTTTCAGGTCTTGAGTATGCCCTGGTCGTCATTTTTTGTCTCCTCCGAGGGAGGCTGACTGTTGCCTGTATCCTGAGCAGAGCTGAGCGGCCTGGAGTTGGCCTTCGTCGACCGCTGTCGCCGCGTGCCATTACCGATGCAGCGCAAAAGGTTCTTGAAGGTTGTCCACATTTCCTCGTCCTTGTAGGAGTAGATGCACGGGTTCATGACCGAGTTGAGTACAGCCAGGAGCAGCAGCCAGCGTTTTAGTTTCATGACTTTACAACTTGTACAGTGGAGGCCATCCAGCAGCAGAACCACCAGGCCAGGAGTCCAGCAGATCACAAAGGCCCCTTCAGGAAACAATAACACAAATCAGACAGTTAGGTTTTTGAAGCACTTATTTCTCACACGCATCATTTTTTTGTTCAGCATTAACAATATAATAAAGATATAACATGTAAAATATGCTGCATTTTCACTGCATGGTTCGGCTCAATTCGACTCTTTTTGGTACCAGGTCCTTTTCTCTATTTCATTTTCCACTGCAGATAGTGAAGCAAGTCAAGATGAGTAGAGCTGTGCAATGGAAATGCAGCATTAGAGCTCTTCAGCAGCGCTGGTGGGCATATTTTAATACCTTTAGACAGACCCAGGTTAGCCGATTCCAGTCTGAGCTAACAGACCACTGGCAGTGGATCATATTTATTGTATAGATAGAACAGTGGTATCGATCTTCTTATCTAACTCTCAGCAACAAACAAATAAGTTTCAATTAATTTATTTTGAGTAAAGGGGTTTAATTTGTTAAGGCTAATAAACTGTAATAATTTGTTTAATGATCCCTCATAAATCTTACTTATTTACCTTGTGACCTGGCCACCCTGTCGGAAACAGTTTAGCCAAAGCAAAACACCACCCACTCGCAGGTGCAAACTTTTTCAGTTTACAGCTAAACAGTACACTACAATATGTTTCTGTGGCAAGAAACAGGCAGTTACAGAATCTTTATTCATGTTTGATCAGTGCTGCCTACGTTGATAGTTTGACCTCAGGCAGTGTCTGACATGATTAACAGCTGTGTTAGAGACTCCTCAGCTCTGATTGGTTGTTTTCGGGTGAGCCTTGGTAGATTCTATTTATTTTTTCGCAACTGCTTATCCTGCTGGGGTCGGGAGGGAGCTGGAGCCTATCCCAGCTGACATTGGGCGAGAGGCAAGGTACATCCTGGACAGGTTGCCAGACTATCACAGTGCTGGCACACAGAGACGGACAACCATTCACACTCACATTCACACCTACGGGTAATTTAGAGTTACTATTTAACCTATTCTGCATGTCTTTGGACTGTGGGAGGAAGCCGGAGTACCCAGAGAAAACCCACGCTGATATGTAGAGAACAAGACTCCCCCACCCTGGATTCAGTAATTATAGTTATAGATATTAGTTTTAGTTGTTATATAATTAGGGCTGCAACTGTTGATTGTTTTAATTATCTATTAATCTGTTGATTTTTTTTTCATTTAATAGATTAATCATGTCAGAAAATAAGTGAAATTGTGGGAAAAAAGTGTAACAGTGTAAAACCCAAAGATTCAATTTACAATGCAGCAATTCACATTTGAAATCCAGGATTTTTTTTCCAGAAAGATTTTAGTTCTGTTCATTACACAAAATACTTTAAGGTTTCATGTAATGGAGCCAAAGCACAAAACATGTAAGATGATAACTTGCATCAAAATTCACTGTATTTTTACATCTTAATACCATTACAACAAGCAGACACAGGTTGGGAGTACAGGGCCATTATTGTGTTAAATACTTAATGCTGTGTGTTTGGTAAATAACACAGTGGCTCGCAGGGCTACTGAAGCAGCCAATTAGCACTCGATTTCAAACATGTTTGGGCACAAAACAGAGCAACTAAGAGATTTCTGGAACTGAAGGGAAGTCACAAGCAGCAACTTGTCCACACTACTTGCATCCCTACAGCCTCAATGCATCTGCAGAACAAAAACAAGTACTGTTCTATACAGCTCCCTGCTCTCTCTTTGTCTCACATACACATGTGTACACAGACAGAGAGGGTCTGGAGAAAGTGTTTTTATGTTTTTCACTGCTCTTAGGCCTGAAAGTAAAAAAGTTTGCCACATTTTTACAGTGAATTTCTATTCTTACACTCGGTCTTTTTCCTCATTTTCTTTGATGGCCCACATGTTCAAAATAAAGGCAACTGAATTGAAATTGGGTGAGACCCCATTTAATGGTCTTCCATTGGCAGTTTTTCATGTACTGAAGTTTAAAGTGGACTTTTCTTCCCCTTTAATCTACGACAGGGAAAAACACGCACACACATTTCAAGCATGTGTTCCTGTCCTCAGTCGGTATTTATTTGATGACGGTGGTTGCACTTAAAGAATGAAAGCAAAATCTGCATGTGTTGTTTGACGCTTCTCTTGACAAGTAGTCCTCAACGCTTTCAGATATCCTACAAATAAAACTACAAGAATGATCTTTTACCAAACAAGTGTCACCTAGAGTTACGTACAAGTGTAACCAAAACAACACAATAGACATCATTCTAAGAACTAAATACGTGCAGTTTCACACAATCTGTTCTTTACTCCTTCAGTGTCTGTGACAATGTCCGACTGTATCCCTGTCCAACCCTTGCACTCATTCATTTTTACTCGTTATAACAAAGCATGTGTGAGTTAAGCATCTCCAAACTGGTTTGTCCAGTTACCAGTTCCACCTAAGCAGACAGCCTTTCATCTGGAACAAAAGTTAACTTTTTTCCCCCCTGAATGATAAATCCCATGGAGCTCAACCTGACTGCATGCCTCACAAGTCTTAAGATTTCCTTACTTTCTCTCTCAGACAACACTGGTGTGTATTTGTCCTACCTTTTACAAGAATGCACTTTCTTTAACATACATTTCAGCCATCTCAACAGGGAATTAAACAATGACACTTGTGTACTAACACTTCCACAAGCTCAAGAGAACTCTGAAAAGCATCTGAAAGCAATCGCCAAAGTCCTCAAGTATAGGTCCCCCCCCCCCCCCCCCTTTTTTTTTTTTTCCAGGAAGGGTGGGAAGGAGGGGATGTTCACTGAAGGCCAGTGTGGTGTGGTGTGGATGGTTCGCCACACAGGCTCAGGAGCAGTGTCCTTGTGTCCTTGCAGGGAGAGATAATTACACAGCAGTCTGGAATACAGCGTGTACAAACGCAGGCAGCTCCTACGCTACAAACTGTATCGAGCTGTCTGGCCAGGCAACAAGCAGAGTGCCCAAAGAGACAAAAAACAGTGACAGACTATTATCCTACAGGGTGACCACTACATCTATCTCATGCATGTTTTTATCTGGATGACTATGAGGAGTGTATGAAAACAAAAACTAAGCACATTCAACACTGCGATGAACTTCTGTGATCCGCAGCACTTTTTGAAACGTCTTATCAGAATTCCTGATTTTGACGGCATGGCAACTTACTATGTACAATGTTATACTTGCATGAGAATATGCATTTAAAGGAACAGTTCACCCCTACATCAACAATACATATTTGTTCTCTTACCCGCAGTGCTGTTTAACAATCTGCACAGTGTTGGAGATATCAGCCGTAGAGATGTCTGCCGTCTTTAACAGAGCTAGATGGTACTTTGGAAAACTCAACAGCAATGTCTCTTTTCAGGAATCATGACCCAGTAACTGGATATAATCCACAGTGCTTGTTGTGAGCAGTTTCATGTGGGAATCAGGTTATGATTTCTGGAAAGAGACATTGTTGTTGTGTTTTCCAAATGTATGTTTTTGGCGCTTTGAGCACCACAAGCCGAGTGTCATCTAGTACCATTATATTCAAGAGGAAGCAGACATCTCTACAGCCGATATCTCCAACACTCAGAAACTGGCACACAAACAAACTAGATTTAAAATTAGCACTACAGATAAGAGAAAAAAATAAGTATATTTGATTTTGGGATGAACTGTCCCTTTAACACGCTATATTAGTGCTCCAGTTGAATATGTTTGTGCAGTCCTATTGTCCTGTTCTTAAAGGAAAGCGCTGGGAGGGGAACACTGAGTACAGTGCCTCTACCTCAAGGTATCTTGTTGCAACAACCGAACAAAGACAGCCAGATCAGGATATCTTACTGCCACATCTACAATGAAAATGCATGATGAAAGAAGGAAACACCTGCCTTTTTAAGCTTTTTTTTTTTATTACACTGGTTAAATAACGGAGCGGTGATGCAACAATAAGTCGATTCACAGATTAGCCAGTGAACAGAAAATGAATTGCCCACAACTAAATAATTAAAGGCCGATTTTCAACCAGCTTTGTATCATAACAATGAGCGCAGTATGTGTAAATGAACTGTGGTAAATTTCCCTCCATCTTACCAGCACTCAGATCTCTCTTGAATGCAATTTGGGAGTGTTTGTCACTGGCTGGCCGTCATATTGTTTTTGGGCAGGAAACTCTCATTATTGTTGTTTATTGTTTATTGGTCCGGTGCAGCACAGTGCATTCTGGTAACCTCTTAAGCAAGTGCAACAGCCATTTTCCTTTGTTTTCTCTGAACAGGCAGCATTAACTTCAAAGGTATTTGCGTTTTTCTACTGCACAGACAGCCTAGTTTTATAAAAAGACCATCTTTTTAGCAGTGAAATACTCCTTTAAGTGAGAGCTTAAGGTATTTATAGCACAAAATGTCAAACATTCTTCAGTTTCAGCTTCTCAAAAGTGAGGATTTGCTTTTTTTCCTGATTAACATCCTGTAAACTGAGTATCTTTGTCTCTAGAAATTTGTGAGGGGCATTGAATGACTGATCTGTTGAGCAAATAATTAAATGCAATAAGTGATAATGGGTAAACAAGCTCTTAGGACACTGTACAGCAAACAAACTTGAGTGCTAGACTTTAAGGTGACTAATGACTTGAGATACAGAGAAATAAAAGACACATTTTGCTGACTCCTCTTTTGCTTTCATTAAAGGCTCCCTCTAATTGCTGACAAGAACTCAACATGTTTACTGACAGCTCAAGTGTTTGTGTTATTACGCTCGAGCTTTTCCTTCATATCAGATGAACAGATTACAGTCCAGTGTGTTCAGCAGTGACGCAGCGAACTGCCTGGACTTTGTGACCCTGATGAAAGACACACAGCTGTACACCACAACTACTTAAACCTGACTAAAACAGGAATTATTCTGACTCACTGCATCAACGATGCTGCACAGACAGAATTTTTACAACAAACCCCTACCGAGCACAACCATGACCGTCTTGATGAGCTTGATGGGCGTCCTCTTGCGGTTAATGGAGCCGCTGGTGTGTGGCGTGAGCACCGCCGTCTTCCTCTTCACATAGGTGTAGATCCTCATGTAGATCACCACCATCACCAGGAACACCACCAGGTTAGACACAGACCAGAAGATCAGGTAGCTCCTGCTGAAGAGGGGAGCCAGCTGGGAGCAGTCGCTCAGGTTGCAGATGCAGTTCCAGCCCAGACTTGGCACGGCCCCCATGAAGATGGAGATAGCCCACACCAGCACAATCAGCAGGGTCACTCTCCTCTTCGTCAGGTTGCTATGGACTTTCCAGTTCATGACGGAGATGTAGCGCTCCAGAGCTATCACCAGCAGGTTAGCCAGCGAGGCTGAGAGACTGATGTCCAGAAGACCTTGGCGGATGAAGTATCCTTTGACTGTAAGTTTCCGTGACACCTCACCCGTGTTAAACATCAAGTAAACATACGCTATGCCTGCCAGGAAGTCCGAGGCGGCGAGGTTGGCTAGGAGATAGTAAAAAGGGTAGTGGAACCTCTTGTTGGTGATGACAGCAGCTATGACCATGGCATTGGAGACTAGGATGAAGCAGCAGAAGAGAGAGCCCACCACCTGCACCAGGATGAGCTGGGTTTTGTCCCATTTGTCATCAGCGCCGCTATTGTTGTAGAAAAAGCCCATGGACTCATTGTAATGACAGGTGTGATTCTGTTGGGCCATTTTAGAGGCGAGTCTGGAAAGAGAATGAGAAAACATCAGAGGGGGAACCATTTATCAATTGAAGTAGAGCAAAAATTAATAGATTAATTGTTATTTACGAAGCAAAAATGCCAAACGTCCCATTTCCTGCTTCTTAAATGTGAGGATATGCTGCTTTTCTTTCTTATGGCTGCTCAATATGCAGTTATTTTGACAGGTGTTGCGATTGCGATATGGGAATGGTTATTTTTGCATTTCATTTTCACTGAAACAAATATATAAAATAGTGATGATGTGATATTTGCTGAGGTCTGCACCAAACAAGCATGTTCACTTACATCTAGAATATAATTTGTAGGCTGAGGCATCTCTGCAGCACCACCATACTTAATGTATGATGGAATATTGTGAAACATTTCACCTGCCTGTTGGCTACAGAATAGATTTTATGATTCTGTTGTCTGTCTACAAAGTGTTCAACGGCCTCGCCCCCTCTTACATCACAGAGCTCCTCTCCCCAGATCACACTGTGAGAGAACTGTTCTGAGATCCAGGACTAAGTGTTATTGGGACAGGGCCTTCCTAACTCCAGGATTCTCTTCCGCCGACCATCCGATTCTCCCCCTCCACTGAGATTTTCACAAATCATCTTAAAACATCTCACTACTTTTTAACTGTGCATAATCTGGTTGTCTTTGTTGCTGTTGCTGTTAAACTGTGGTGACAGACTAAAGATAACAAGGATAGTTTTTGCGATAGATGCAATATTAACAGTAATGATAGGTTATTCTTTCTGTTATCATAATTTTATTGCTATTATTATTCAAATTTTTGTGTTTCTCTTCTTTCTTTTGTTTTCGCTTGTCTCTGTGTGTGCTGTGGGCGCACTTTGGATCAACTCTGTTTGTGTTTAAAGTGCTTTATAAATAAAGTTAACCTGACTTGACTTTATCAAACGGTTGCAACACTTTGCCATATTGCGATTTTGATAATATTTCAACTAATTGTGTAGCCCTATTCTTTTGTAAGTTAGTACACAGAATATCTTTAGGCTTTGGACTGTTGTTTTGACAAAATAAGACAATTAGAAAACATCAGTGATTTCTGGGAAATTGCAATTGTCAAAAAAAAGTACAACTTTTCTGTATTTTTTAATGTTTTGTCGACCAAACAACCAGTCTGATACTCAAGCAAATAACTGGCAGATTCACTGTTAGTGAAAACAATCGTTAGGCTTCGTAGCAGCCCTACATTAAACAATAATGTCAGTAATTATAATGTTAATAATAATGTCAAATACACTATATCTAGAAATGCCTAGGGGTTTAAATCTATCAAAGAACAAGTAAAATGAGATGATGAGAGAGATCAAAAGTGTAAACTGAAATGCTTTGTATGTCAAATCAGACCATAGTGCTAGTTCTAACCAAGGCCAAGAGAGATTTAATGACTCTAAAAGGCAAGTGCACATGCCAAACCCCATTTAGGCACTGGGAGATCACAGTCGGCTCCATTATTAAATTTGAACAAGATAGTGACCATAGTAACATTAAAAAGAGAGACTAAACAGCACTAGTGATATGAGAAGTGTCTGTGGAGTCGTTTTGAATTTTCTACCTGTACAAACACCAGCCTACAGACTTGAAAATAGTGAACCTAAAGTCTAAAGTCCACGTTTTCTCTGTGACTTGAGAAGCTTCCCTTTATGATGCAATTAACCTTACTACCTGTCGTTGGCCTACCAGACTTAAGCGGTGAGACATTCCCACAGAGGGACACAAACTCTTGCAGAAAACAAAATACAAAGCAGACCAAACAAAACCAAAATATAATCCCCAAAAGAAGAACAAAGAGTTACCGTGAAGAACAACCACCCAGGTGGGTTTACCTGTGGTAAAGGGCTGTGAGCGGTGAGTCAGTAGACGAGTTGCGAAATATTCCGTGCTGAGTTACTGAACATGTTTCCCCTGCTGCAGAGCGCCTCCGCAGCCGTGGACCGAGTGAAGTGACAGCACAGAGCCAGAGGACGAAGTGAAGGCAGGAAAGTTGAGCGTCTACACTTTGAGGCTTCAGCTCGGTGACGTAGAGGGCGTGTGCCACCCAGCCTCACATGTGAATTCCTCCGGTTGACCGCGCGAGGCCCCGCGAGCTCACGGTCCGAGCAAAAACACTGCGGTGAAGCGGAGACATGGAAACCCACCCACCGTTTCATCGGTTTTCATAGTGATCTACTCTTTTTTATTTTTTCTTAAAATCAATTGACAGTTTTATTGGCGCTGATTTTTTTAATGTATTTATCCCATCCCCAAATTATTTAGCTCACCTGGAGACATGAGTCCACTCAGCTCGCGCCTGTGCTCAGGGGCGGAAGTTAGATTTCAAATGTTAGGGGTGGGGGGTGGGGGGATAATACACAAATCCTCAAGAGCTTTGCTTTTTCAGATATTCCAACCCAAGTTATTAGAACAGAGCACAATAATAATTTTTGACATGTCTCCTCCATTAAATTGATGGTCATAACAATAATATTTTAAACAGCACAAGTGATGAAATTGATTATTAAAGCGGACTCAATCAGGGACTTATTTTGTAACAAAGGTCCTGTTTACATGACAGCGATTCCAACCGGAAATGGTAAACTTTCCTTGCGTTTTGGCTGATCGTTTATACAACAGCTGGTCATCGTGTACTACATTGCTGTCATTGTTCATTTTAGTCAAACCATACAGTTTGAAAACGAGGCGCGGCTCCAACTAGAAAACAATGTTTTGATGCATCGGATGTACTGAATGTGCATATTAAGGCAGTACAGGAGGAGGTGCACATTAATAATCCTCCAGGACTGTAACATGCTCATGTTTAACCCAAACAATGTGTCATGTGACTGCAGTTGGTTCAGATTGAGGTCGGAACATGTTCTCGCCACAAACAAACCGCACCAGAGTTCGGTTGTAATCGGACTGAGACCATGGCTGCGGTCGGAAAGTCTTTTTTGCTTGGGAAGGTTCCTAGCTGAGTGAAATGACCCGGAAGTATTTTAGTGGCCGCCATGATAAGAGCTGTTCGAATTCTCTAAACACTAAGGAAAGGAGGTTCAGTGCTTCCTTTCAGATCTCATTTAGCATAGGATACATCGGACCTTCCTAAGCGATAGGAAAGGAGATAATTTAATCCCACAATGCTTTGCTGGAGCAATATTTAAAGTGACCGACCGTTCACGGAGACAAACGAATAAACCCGAAGTAGGAGAAGAGGAAGAATGAAAGAAGCGACGAAAGGTAAAGAAAAAGAATAACTGGCTCTCAACATGACTGTAAAGTCACAGTTTCACCATGTAAGTCACCGTTACATGAAGCTTTGCCCATCTCATGCCATAACGTTAATATGCGTAACGTTATATGTTCCAAACTCTCAACAATATGTTAAACCCAATGCGAACTATAAACGTCACGCTACTTTTGTAACATTACCCAATTCAAGTTAATATTGTGGTGTAAGATATGCTCAGTGTGCATTAATCATATCACTATTTGAGCGTTGTTGAATTGCCAGCTTTTAGCAATATCATTAATTAATTTTTCTTCAGTCACAGATGCTGACATCTCTGCACTCATATGGACACATGTGCGGCTGGAGCACCTCTTCAGCGGGAGGCAGCCCTTTTTAGACTATTACGCAAATGAATTTCACCCAAACACTTTAGAATAAAGCCTCCCACATCTCTACCCTGTCCCCCCATTACTCATTTCTTGTATACGAACATCAGCAAACACAGAAAACCTGTCCATTTAGGCAGAAGATATACTGTTAATTGCACAGGTGCACCTTCATCCCTATGTATGCTCTTGTTATTTGTTCTTTTCTTTTTTTCTGTGTTGTTATTGTCACTAATGCAATGGAAAATCCAATAAACACAATTAAAAAAATAAAATAAAATAAAAAATAACTTCAAGTCACAATCATGTCAACATTTCAAGGTGTTTACTGAGTTTTGTGGCCGCTTTTAAACTATTGTAAGCAAATGACAAATGATGATTGATTGGCATAATAACACAGAAGTTTGTGTTTCAAGAAAAAGGGATATGAAACGTTTTTATTTAGATGATGTTTTTAATTCAACATGTTTGCAATGTAAGAATGGTATGTACAGTAGTAGATTTGTAAGCCATATTTGCCTCTCTTGCATACACTTGAACATTTGTCATAAATAATCACAATGATTCAGGAGGAGGGTGAGTGTGAGCAACCATTTTCAGCGTTTCAGTTTTGTGACTGCCTATCTATCTTTTTTAATTCAATTCAGACATTGGTAATTAAGTCATATTTTTCACCGTGCTGTCCATGTTTATATAGCCTGCATGAAACAACATGGTAAGTAGGCATGGGGCGGAGTACCTGAGATGCGCTTTTTGTAGTCCATCTTCGGTAAACTGTAGTTTCACTACGGTCGACCTACGTCACTGACATCCGCCGTCGCATGATGACGTAGCCCAGCGTAAGTGCGGTCGGATTCTCTCAGCTCCGCGGTTCTCTTTTCCTAAGTCCTTATGAATTCTCCTACTCATCTTTCCTTGACCTCGTGACGTTTCCCACCGAGGTCAAGGAATAGTGATTAGGAATAGACAATAGGAGGGACTTTCCAACCGCAGACCACCTCTTCAAGAAGTTCTCGGTCAGGTTGTTTTGGTGTGCACCCGAGTGTGATTGTTGTGTTCACACCCGCCCAAACAAACTGCACATAGGGGGATTAGTCTCGCCACCAGACAATCAGAGATCTCCGCCTTCTGATAGTCTGGGGACATTCCTTTCTAAAGTGTGTTTAACACACCGGCGAAAACGGCCGGCAACAAAGCAACGCCTCTTACATTTTTGAAAAGGACACGCCTTCTCGGAAATTTGCGCTCCCCCTTTTCTCGTCCGCAAGGAAACGAACACAGAGAGCTTGAAAATGGATGCCGAGAGATTAAACTCCGTTTTATCAAATGTGTGCTCATCCGTTAAGAAAATATTGTTTCCAGCGGATGTCTTAGTTACAACATGATTGAGCTAACTGGAGTAGTGTCATGTCGTATCCGACAAAGGGAGGCTTTTAACAGATGACGTCCAGATGTTAGCTTTGCTGCTAGTGTTAGCTGTCCCTGTCAACTGATGCTTTCTAGACATCGTGATTTCCCAAAACTGAATAAATACCACACATAGCGACACAAAACTGCTTTGCTAGCTCAATCATGTTGTAACTAAGATATCCGCTGGAAAAGATATTTTTTTCACGGACCGTTTAATGAGTTATTACCTATTACAGACACGGCTAACAGCTAACAGGGCTAACAACTAACGGTTAGCCCAGCTAAACGTGCACACAGAAATAGTAATGTTTGTTCAATCATTGTGTTTATAGACTTTACAAACATCGGATTAGTCTAAACGGTGATACAGTGATGTAAAAAATGTGATATATAGGCTACATATATATAGCTAAAAGCTCTGCTGGCTGCCTCTATAGTCCGGCCGGACGGATGAGTCATGGCCTTGTAAAAGATTATGCTTGTTTCTTTTAGTTGGCAAACGCGTCAAACATCCACTAACTTTGACGGAGTTTTCTGCGAGCATGGCTGAGCCATTTTGTACCGCTACACGTGTTTCTAGTGGGACTATGTTTACGAGCACAAGAGTTCAGCGAGCCACCGAAGGACCGCCCTGCAGATTTACTATTGGTTCTGCAACGTAGGGAGTTTTTTTAAACTCTGAAATTGTATCCGCCCGTCTAAACACAAAATCAGGGAGAAAGTCATCAGTCTTTAGTTAAGCAAAGTGTCTAAAGACTGACTTGTGAGTCTAATAGGGGGTAAACAAACTTGAGTTAGACTGAACCGAACCAAACAGGGCAGGTGTGAAAGCACCCTAAACTGACTCACCTACTCACTTGATATTTTCCTCCTGCACCTAAAAGCAATATATCAAAGTAATCAAAGACAAGACAAAAGGTTAAATAAATAAATTAAATAGGTTTTCACATAGACTGTATAATGGACATAGCTCCCATGACATCATGCTTTTTCCCCCCTTTTCTGTAACCACTTGTGTTGGTACAGGGCTGTGGGGGGTCTGGAGTCTATCCCGGCTGACATTGGGCGAGAGGCGGGGTACATCCTGGACAGGTCACCAGACAATCACAGGGTTGACACATAGAGACAGACAACCACTCAAGCTCACATTCACTAACATTTACACCCACAGACAATTTAGAGTCACCAATTAACCTAACAGGCATGTTTCTGGATTGCGGGAGGAAGCCGGAGAACTCGGAGAAAACCCACACTGACATGGAGACACATGCAGACTCCATAGAAAGGGGCCCCAGTCAGCCAGTGGATTTAAACCTGGGATCTTCTTGCTGTGAAGCAACAATGCTAACCACTGCACCACTGTGCAGTATGCTACCCCATCAGGATGTCACCCACTGGTTTGTGGAGTGCCATTTTGAAGCCTTGAGTTCAGCATTTCAGCCATCGCCATCTTGTTTTTTGGAGCCAGAAGTGACCATATTTGGAGGAGAGGCTGGAGCTGTGAAGAAGTGAGGGGTGGATCTGAGTCACTGACTGTGACGACACCTCACAGACAGCCTGTCACTCAAAGAGGCCTTAATAAAATATTAACAGGTAAGTTATATAAAAAAAAAAAACTCATCCCCATACAGTTGTCATGATGGGTGGGGGTGGGTCGATGGGGATTTACTCTGTTTTGGAGCCAGCTTCAGGTGGCCATTTGATGAACTGCAGTTTTTGGCACTTCCACATTGGCTTCATTTTTCATTGCTGAGTACAAGCAGACATTTGTGCCAAATTTGAAGATATTTCCTTGAGGTGTTCTTGAGATATCGTGCTTGAAGAAAAGTCCATAATAATAATTTGTGTGAAGGAATATTTCTTATAGGACTTTGTTCATCTTCTTTACACAAGCATCTCATCACTCCTCCAATTTATTGAGACCCTTTGGAGGAGGCCTCACCCCTGGACTCAAGTATAAACTTTATATAAAGTAGTTAAAACTAGCTCTGACACTATCAGCTACATCAAAAACTATACCATATAAAAATAT